ATTTTTTTTTTTTTTTTTTTTTTTTTACTATGTTTTGGAGTTTCCTAGAGATTTTAGTACATAGAGAGTTCACTGGCCCAAAACACGGTGCATCCCATTGCCCTTAGTATTATTTTTCTTGTTGTAAATGAGACATGTAGTTTTTATGATGTTGACATGTACCTTATAAGTTTTTCTCTAATGAGTCTGCAGAGTACTGGTTGAGTCCCTTGGCCCCAACAGCTGTTCTAATTATGGTGTCAAAATAGTTTCTTGACTGAAAATTTGAGAGTTAAAACTGTGAGATTCAGTATAAGTGAGCAGCTGGACTCCTTCAATAATGTTTCTCAACAACTGTAAAATGTATTACAGACTTGTTAGAGCTTTTAGGAGTCAATCTTTTATTTTACAAAGGAGGAAACTGAGTCTCAAAGATATGATGTGACAAGCTAAAGACACAGAGCAAGGACATAAATGAGTAGGGACACAAAACTTTAGAATCTAAGAGCAAAATTGCTTCTATAGCATTACAGTGTTTCTCACAAACTATGCTTGCCATAATGACTTTGTTTTCATCCACTTATATGCCCACTGGGCTTTTGATGACAGTACACCCTTGTTAGGAAGCAAATGGATGAAATGACTTCATAATTACAGAAGCTTTACTTACAGTAATTTCCCCTGATGCCCAACAGCCTCCAAACTCAGTGCGTCAATGCATGATAATATACTTCTTAAGCCTGGCATAGATTTCTTCCTTTCTTTTCAGTCATTCAGAACACCCCTATGCAAGCATGCTAAAAATTAGAAGACAAACAAAACTCCCTTGCTTGAAAATGTGATCTTTCTCATTTTCAAAATAACTCTCAAACTTTGACAAAACATTTATGTTCTATTAAATAATGCAGGAAACCATAAATCTCAGTTTTATACTTGAAAAACACATCACCAAGGACTGAAAGGTTAGTTCCTATGAAACTGTCTCCACCCAGAAAGGGAGGTCAAGGTGCTCCATGGATGTGATTTACTTCCTTAAGCATGTCTAGACAGATCTCCTGCACACAGAATCGCCTTCGAATGTAGTAGCCATATAAGATTCATTTTGTCTCTTTTGCTTCAAGTTTTTTATGCTTGTGCTTTCCCAGTGCTTACAGGGGCTAGAGAATAACAGAAACCAGACCAGAAATTGCTGCATTTTCTCCAGGCTCTAAATGTCATGTGTCAGAACAGTTACTGGATTCCCACCAGTATGCTGATTGGATTCAGATTATGACCTCCCTATTTGTTCCATTTAAATTACCCTGAAGGTATGAGCTCAACAGTGCTCTGAGACAGTGCTGGCATATGCTATGTAAACAACCCATGTTAGGAACTCAGCAATGCCTCAGCAATAGCCTAAGAAAATCTCTGATACAAAGCAACTTACAGGTTTGAGGTAAAACATGTTTTTAATCACTTTGAAAACAGCATTTGCATGATGTACTGCAGTTTGTGTGAACTGGAAATAGAAAACATGTTCTAAATGATTATCCAAAACAGTTTCAAACCAAGGGAGCCTCTGAAACAGTGAGTTGGTGTAAACAATAGGGATTATAAAATGTAGACTGTTCCTACTCCTTTCTTTCCTCTCTGTTTTCTGGATGGCTGAACAGCTCTCAGGCTAACATCCTTCTTTGAATAGCTGATACTATAGTTTGTGTCGGTGAATAACTGGCTTATACATTCACAGTGAAATTAATTGCCAGGGTCAGGACCACAGAGGAAAGAAGACTTCAATGTTTCAGAAGATACAGACCTTAGGCTCCTACAGATATGGTGCCCTTGGATTGCACGATGGTAACTTCCTACTTTTAGAGTAGCCCAAAAGATAGAACACAGAAAAGTTAATAATAGTCAGCCTGATATTACCCAGCATTCATACGTGTTAGACAAATATATGTGTAATCTGATCAAAGTGTCTGAATTGCAGCAGTGCATCTCAACTCAAAATAGATATGGCCAGAATTCTCCTGTCCAAGGGGGAACTACCAGACCTTCTAGGTTCTACATGAAACTGAGCAGTTCAGAACAGAGAAAGCAAAGGCCCCTCTTAAAATTGGTAACAAATTAGTCTGCAAAGTAAATCGACCGATGTTATAGGAGTTTTAATTTTTTAAGTTTTGTGATAGTGAAAATAATGTGAGATTTAAATTTCAATGTTCATAAACAAAGTTTTATTGGAGCATAGCCATGCCCATTTGTTTCCTTATTGTTTTTTTAATAAATTTGTCCTGTTTATTAAACTTATTTTTTTCTTAGTTGACACATAATAATTATATATATTTTCGAGGTACAATATGATGTTTGGGCACATGTATACAATGTGCAATGATCAACTCAAGGTAATTAGCATATTCATCACCTCAAACATTTGTCATTTCTTTGTGTTGGTAACATTCAAAAGGAGCTTTAATTATTAAAAACAGGAATTACACCTAGTGCCCATATCTTGGTTTCTAATAACCGTTCTCAAAAAAAAAAAAAGAGAGAGAGAGAGAAATAAAAGAAAAGAAAAACCAGGGCTTCTTGGGAAAATGGCTGATTCCAGGACTGAGGCAGGAAGAATACAAGATGAACCTGGAGCATCTCTTAGTACCGGAAAGGAAAGAAGTGCTCAACAAAAACAAAACATATTGATAGGAACACGTCAAAAGGACATAGGAGCCAATGGAAAGAGCTTTCAAAGGTCAAATCTGAAACAATTTGAGCAAACAAAATAAAGTCGTACTGAATTATAAGCCAAAATATAAAATAAATGTCCATGAATACATACTGATAAAAATATGAATTCCAAATAATTTGTGTAGATATTCCACCCTCAAAGAAGTGGATCATAACTTTCTACTTTTTACATGTGTGCTATATGTAGTGACTTCCTTGTAAAGAGTTCATGGGGCGGGGTGGGGGGAGTCATTTTACAGTGGAGAAACCTGACAAACATACCTCAGCCAGGTGACCAAGGTTAACATCATCAGCGATAAGGCATATTGATAGTATACACCTTTGATGATGTGATGAGAATGGCATTTTACCTCTGTTACCTTCCTTTGCCAAACCCACAGTCATGAGAAAACAACAGACAAATTCTACAAAATACCTGACTAGTACTACTGTAGTGGATTGAATTATGTCCCCCCAAAACTCATCGAAGCTTGAATTGTGTCCCCCAAGTTTTATGTATTAGAAACTTAGCCTCCACTGTGACTGTTAAGAGGGTGGGAAATCCTATTATGGTAACTGAAAGGTGGAGCCTTGAAGAGGTGATTGGATTGTAGGACCATGCAGTAGTGAATGGATTAAAAATGGTGGTCATGGGTGTGGTTCTGAGGGCTTTAAAAGAAGGGGAAAGTCTGGCTTTTGCTTTCTCTGCTTCCAACATCTTGCATTGTAGACCACTGAGTCACTGTCGCCACCACCAGATGGACTTTGGACTTCCCAGCCTCAGAAACTGTAAGCAATAAATTTTGTTTTCTTTCTAAATTATCTAGTTCTTGGTTTTCTGTTGTGTCGCCACCACCAGATGGACTTTGGACTTCCCAGCCTCAGAAACTGTAAGCAATAAATTTCATTTTCTTTATAACATACCCAGTTCCGTGTATTTTGTTAAAAGCAATGGAAATGGACTAATACAACTACTAAAAACTTTCAAAGTCATTAAAATCAGAGTCTGAGAAGCTGCCACAGCCAAGACGAACCTAAAGAGACATGATGACTATAATGACTATACCTTGCATTGGATCCCGGAACAGAAAAAAGAAAACATTGAATTTAAAAAAAAAAATGAAGGAAATCTGAATAAAGAACTGGCTTTAGTTAATAATAATATATCAATATTAGTTCATTAATGTGACAAATTCACCATATCAATGTAAGTTGTTAATAATAGAGGGAACTGGGTACAAGGTT